TCTTGACTGCCTTTTTTACTTCATCCGTAAGTTGAATGTTGTTAATGGGAGTCTCTGCAAAGACATCATGCTCATCGTCGTCCCTGCTCCAGGAAGGCCATGAGGGCAATGAGAACGATGGCATCATATCTCCGACGTTGTGGACAAACCCAGAAGGGCTTGGGATGTGGAAATCACCTAAGCCAAAATTTGGAATGCTCGGTAGAGATGGTTTCACAGCTCCCATGCCTGAATAGAGGAAGACTCCCAAAAGCAAGCTAACACCGACCATGAGAACGGTGTAGACAACTCCTTCGATCTGAGAACCTCGGATTTGAATACCAGATAATCTGTCGAGAAAATTGACGAAATGATCCATAATCTTGTCGACCAACCATACCACAGATTGTAGATACGTCATGGGGTTTAGTAACTTCCACCAATCCGTAGGGCCACCATTGTTGTATTGATCATCGTCAAAATCGTCAAAGTCATCGTCTTCACGCCGTCTCCAGATCAGATTGAATGGCCAGAGTGTTGATAACCAAGCAATCTGTTCCCGATACCATTGACGCCACGGCTCTATTTGGGGTGCTCGTTCTCTCTCGGCTCTCTCGGCTCGTTCACGAGCAATTTGATCCTCTGTTTCTTGAATCTCTCGCTGAATGTCCCAAACACGCTCTTGCGGATCACGGGGAATCTGACGGGCCTTTTCAAATCCGCTTGATTGCGAAGCAGGCCTATCAATTCTAGAAAAAAGACTCTGACCTCCGCTTGTTCTTTGGTCTCTCCTCTCAGGAGCAGCGTGTCCAGATAGCTGTTGTGCTGTCTGTCGACGGCTTGGGTTGGCAACGGTACGTGTGGAAGTCTTCTTTGTTATTGTACGTGCCTTTCTCGCATTGCCTCCATATCGGGTTTCCCTCTCGATATCGTCTTGATCGCTTGCAGCAGAGCTTTCACTCTGCTCGCTGTCTTCCACTGCCGGGGGGTCTCGCGGCCGGGGCTGACTTTGTCGGGTTTTGTTTGGGGCTGGTGTGTTCGCCGAAGTCCTGTTTCGAGTAGGAGGCACATCCCTCTTTTCCAGCTCGTCTTCTTCTAGTTCACGCGACTGCTGCCGTGTTTGTCTCGGTATTTGGAGTGACGTTTGTTGGGTGTCCCTAGGTCTACTGGGCTGCGTCTCAAGATTGTGTTGCTCGCTTAGACGAGATGGCTGTAGGCTGCGCTGTACAGACGTATCTCGTTGAGCTCGATGGTTTAGGCTGGGGGCAGCAAGTTGCCTTTCAGTACTTGCTGTCAAGGATGGCACCGATCCTATTGTTGCATCTTCGTAGTATTCACTTTCCAACCCAAAGCTTCGTGAGCTATCATCATCTCTCTCAATCGCTAATTGCTGAACATTGCCTGTTGCTGAGCGTAATGTATCTATTCCATGTTAGACTTGTCGAGAGCAATGTCCATGTCACTCACTGTCTCTCGATGGACCTGCTTCATCTGCCCTTGAGGGAGCTGCCCTTGGCTTTGCCGGCCGAACAAAGTCTTCCTCATCATCGACGTTGTTTGCAAGGGCTTGATTGACGGCACTGCCCAAATCCATGCGCTGAAGACCAGCTCCCACTTTCGGCGGTGGTTCAGCACCAGAGCCATATGTGTACTGCCTCCGTGTACTGGGCGTTCCTTGCAGGGCCGGTAAATGGGGCCTCACCAACGTATTCGGCGGCTCATTCGTAGATTGTTGCTCGGGCTCCCGGCTTGTGAGGCGGGTAGTACGTCTACTGACTCTGGGAGGCATGTTTGAGGTGGAATGTGAAGGTTGAGTGAAGTTGGTGTGAACAGAGGATTGAACAACAAAAAGATTTCAGTCTGAAAGAAAGGGTCCCTTTTTGTTTCATGAAGTGTCCGTTGTCGTTAAGATGAGGATGAGGCGTGAAAGTGGTCGTTCTTTGTTCTCTGAGATGAAAATAGCAGCACTGACTTTGTGCGTCTACCACACAGAGGTATCAGAGCAACACCAGAAAATAGCTCCCCGCCTCTAGTTGTGATTCACAAAGACGGGTCTGCCGTGCGCCAGCTTGACTGGCCAATCTTAGCGCTGAGATGTAGTCAAACACAACAAAGAAACATGTTGGTGGCGGTGAGATTAGCAAACAATGAGTCCTGGCAGGTTTTTCAAAAGGCTGGCGATGATGGCAGTGCAATAATTTCGGTATCGGCGATGAGTTCTTTTTGCTGGCTTGTTGAAATGCGTCTTTCTTTTTTTGTCGGTCCTTCTTGTGATGCTATCGCGAAGATGCTGTATGCAGCCGACGCGATACGCGCCGAGGATTAGGCGGCGCAAATCGAGAGGCTGGTTGTACGTGATCACGTGCGCTGGCGTCGTACAAAAGCTGCTCCCAAATTACAGTAAAGCTGCATCAAGATTGGTTCAAGAAATTCAGCTTAATAGACCTCAGGCAGATGTACTGCCGTGTTAATTTCAATTTACCTCTAAAAAATCAATACCAATTAAAGTGCGCTACCGTTCCATATCCCGCCGCATCTGATCGAGACCAACCCAACTTCACTTAGAGTTATTAGTGAAGAATCGAGACTTGCACTCACAGTCCATTAAAGTCTCGACTCTGAGCAAAGTGCAAGATAAGTTCCTCTAAATTTATATGAAATGAGGGAAATTCGTTAGCATTCTCTAAGAATATCTGCATTCCTTCAGATTCGTGGCCGATACGAGAAGCAATACGAAGTCTCAGAGACGGGTTTAGCCATCGGAGAGAGCGCTATCAATGCATGGATACATAAGTTAGAGGAGTCATTATTCATGAATGGACAACACCAAAAGTTTACTTCTCCCTTAATTGCCAACTACGCGATGCATTGTTTCTTAGAGTGCAGGTTGATTAATTACATCCATAATACGACAGAGAATGTCAGAGATATAATAAATATTACGAGGCCCGTACTCCACAAATACCCTGCCCGCCCACCATGATCGTCTCTTCGGTCCAGTTCAAGCCGGGTAAACCGTCGTTAATACGTACAAGGCCGTTGTATGGAGCGCATATTGTAAACTCGATTTTTTTGAGTGTAATCCAATCGGGCCTATGCCATGCTGCGATATTATTTGCCACTCCTTCTCAATCATTCGACTCATTCTCGCGAGATCTGGTATCGACAGTCTAGTCGTTGCTGAGACTTGAGCCTCAAGCCCCGAATAATCCTCCATGAGGCATGGGCATGTCAAGATCCTTGAAGTCCCACCGCCATTAAATTAGCAGCGTCAATCACATCAGCACGAACCCCCTCCTTCTAATGAGCGAGCCTAGCGAGCCCAAAAAAAAAACAGCTGCCCCGCCATCCCCGACAATTCCCCCCTACCAATTCATTCATTGACCTTTAACCCCGCCATCCTTCAACGCAACCCGCCTCCTCGACTTCTTTTTGCTTTGTAATTTTTCACCGCAATCTTGAATCGCTCAGTCAGACCAAAGAAATCCGTTGAAAATGCCTGTTGGAACTGTTCTCGTCACCGGGTACGCCACTCAATCATCCTTTGCGACACTGACCCCTCTTATTGGTCTCGGACATTGTCTTTGTTGTCGCAAGCTTCACGACACGGATCATACGGTGTCGCAATGGACAAAGGAGCACCAGCTAACGATTGATCCTCCAGTGGTACCGGCTATATCGGCTCTTTCACCACTCTCGCCCTTCTTGAGCACGGTTACGATGTCGTTATCGTCGACTCCCTCTACAACTCTTCAGAGGTTGTCCTAGACCGTATCGAGCTGATCTGCGGTCGCCGACCTTCCTTCTACAAGGTCGATGTCACAGACGAGAAGGCCATCGACGAGGTCTTTGCCAAGCACCCTGCCATTGACAGCGTCATCCACTTTGCTGCTCTCAAGGCAAGTCACATGTCAACCAAGGCGATCATCCACGACTAACACCATCCAGGCTGTCGGAGAGTCTGGCGAGATCCCTCTCGAGTATTACCGTGTCAATGTCGGTGGCAGCATCTCTCTGCTCCGCTCCATGGAGCGCAACAACGTCAACAACATCGTCTTCTCCTCCTCCGCTACTGTCTACGGCGATGCTACTCGTTTCCCCAACATGATCCCTATCCCTGAGCACTGCCCCATTGGACCTACCAACACATACGGCCGCACCAAGTCCATGATCGAGGACGTTATCACCGACTTCATTAACGCCCAGCGAAGCAACTTTGAGAAGGCCGGTAAGGAGTTCAAGCAATGGAACGGTGCTCTGCTGCGATACTTCAACCCTTGTGGTGCTCACCCCACTGGTATCATGGGTGAGGACCCCGCTGGTGTTCCTTACAACCTGCTTCCCCTCCTCGGAAAGGTTGCTACTGGTGAACGTGAGAAGCTCTTGGTATTCGGCGATGGTGAGTTTACCTAGTGCATAATTGCTGCGCAACTTCTAACATCTGGTAGACTACTCCTCTCGCGACGGTACTGCCATTCGAGATTACATTCACGTTGTCGACCTTGCCCGCGGCCATCTTGTCGCTCTTAACTACCTGCGCGAGAACCAGCCCGGTGTCAAGGCGTGGAACCTGGGTTCCGGCCGTGGAAGCACTGTCTTTGAGATTATCAAGGCCTTCAGCAAGGTCGTTGGCCGCGATCTCCCCTACGAGGTCAAGCCTCGACGACAAGGAGACGTTCTCGATCTCACTGCCAACCCGACCCTCGCCAACAAGGAGCTCAACTGGAAGACCGAGCTCACCATGGAGAAGGCCTGCGATGACCTTTGGAAATGGGTCAGCAACAACCCCAAGGGTTACCGACAAGATCCTCCCGCTGAGATGGTTGAGGCTGTCAAGTCTTCCAAGGCTTAAAAATAGAAATAATGATGACCGAGGCCACCCTTGTGCAAGCAGGCCTCTTGCAGTTTACGGAGCGAGATGAAAACTTCTTAAAAGATTTATGTTTTTTGGTCATGGTTGAACCATCCATATAGCATTATAGACAGACAGCGCATTGAAAATGAAAATGAAAAGGCTAGACTTAATCGATTTTAATGAGCAACTTTCCAATCGTCTTTCGGCTCTCAATGTCCTGGTGTGCCTGTGCCACGTCCTTGAGAGGGTACACTTTGTGAATGGTGAGTTCGAGCTTCTTGGCCTTGATGAGATCGAAGAGCTCGGATGTGTACTTTTCGAGATCAGCTCGCTCGGAGACGTAGCCGTTGACTACGGGGCGCATCAAGCGGACACACTTCGGTGTAAGTCGGAAGAGGCTCACGGGGTCCACGGCGCCGGACTATATTTTTGTTAGCTTGAGATGCGAAAGTTGTTGAAATACACTTACAGCGTTGCCGAAAGAGATGAGGCTACCCTTGGCAGCAATCATCTCAAGATCCCCGTCGAAGGTAACCTTGCCCACACCATCAAAGATAACATCCGCACCATGACCACCAGTGATCTCCTTAACCTTTGCAACAACGTCATCATGAGAGTTGATAACCCACTCCGCACCATTCTTCTTCGCAAGCGCAAGCTTCTCCTCTGAACTCGCAGTACCAATAACCTTGGCACCGACAATTCGGAGCAGTTGAACAAGTAGAGTGCCTACACCTCCAGAGGCAGCGTGAACAAGAACCCATTGACCAGCCTTGACCTGACCAGCTTCACGAATGAAGGTCCATGCTGTGAGACCTTGGAGGTAAGCAGCGACAGCTTGGTCAGTGGGAACCTCGTCAGGGATTTTGACAGCATCAGAAGCGTTGACGACACTGTACTCAGCGTATGCGCCCACGGTTCCCATGAAGACCACGCGCGTACCGTTCTCAAATCCCTTGACAGAAGAGTGAGCGTCAACGACAGTACCAGCAGCTTCACGACCTAGCGTAAGGGGAAACTGGGGCGCCTTGTAGAGACCACTTCGGAAGTACGTATCGATATAGTTCAAGCCCGCAATCTGATTCTTGACGAGGATCTGGCCCTCGCCAGCTTTAGGAACAGCAACATCGTTGAACTCAAGGACTTCAGTGCCGCCGTTCTTGTCAATCTGAACGGCCTTCATCTTGGGAGGTACAGGCGCCATTGTTGCTGTTGAGAAGTGTGATGTTATTCTGGAGATTCGCTGGATGGGGATTGAGGGTGTGAGTGATTTTGATATGGCGCTGGTTCTGAGCAGGGAGCGACGGAGAGGTTGAGCCATGAGGGTGAGTGTCGGGACGGGGGATTATTAATGTGTCGGGTCGGAAGAGGGCGGTTTTGGATGGAGGAGTGGTTCGGAGGTATAGCGGGGACTGGGGACCGGGCCCATGATGGCGGGGTAATGATACTGAGGTGATTGCACGTCATGATTGCGGTTTCGGATATAGATAGAAGAGAGGAGATTTTGATGTGAATATCTCGAATTATATTGCAGGGTCGATATGCTACAAGATAGAGTGCTTACTCGGCTGAGTGACTGGTAAGATCCGTGGTCTCATTGCTTACAGTTCCCCTTCTACAAGGCAGATGACACTGCTTTGACACGGAGAGCCCTGTGTCTATCCTCTCATTTGTATCCAGTATTTATACATATAGAAGCACCCCATCAGCAGTTTCCCCTATGCTACTGGGTTGAAATAAAGCCAGCACTCATAAGTCGACAAGTTTATGTTAAATCTCGTCCAATATATCGATTAAACTGAGCTGTGCTGGTGGACGGCTAAGCTCTTAGCCACATCACTTACACAGCAAGTACGCTACCCTGTAGCCCAGCACCGACATTAAAGATCCTCATACTTGGTCAGTCTGGGGCCCGAAACGAAATTTAAATGCCCATCTATACTTGCAGTGGAAATAATAAGGAGCCTTCAATCTCAGAAGCCCATTGCGATAAATCTGCTTCACTATTATCGCAAGCCATTCAATGATGATCCGGGGCCTATGATATTACAAACAATGCTTCTTGGAGCTAATCTGCACCATAGTCACAGATACGCGGATACGTTACGCCTGGAAGCCTGAGGGTGTTCTCTTGCATCCTTACGCGTTCTCGTATTGCTGGAATATACCAGTGTTACAGCGCTTTGATCAGATGAGTCCCGTGATGCCTCAGCCAATTTGGAATGAGCGGTCACGATTTAGATGGCCCCCTTCAATGGTAACCGAAATGACAGCTTTATGATATCATGAATTCGAAGTGTGTAGATTGGCTACTACTTCAAAGCAAATGCCGAGTGTGGCTTTGCCCAAGTTAAGCTTGCGCATTGCTTGTTTCAAGGCTGTTGCGAACTTAGTTGACAGCTAATATGGGCACGCCAGGGACCAGGTCAGTCCTGAACGAGCCTGCATCTCGATTGTTGATCAGATCGTCATGCTAGTTCTCAATGGGTTAATCAACGTGATGCCATTCATGCCATCTACTGATTTCTGCCAGTCAGTATTGAATCGAGGACGTTGACTATCAGACCAAGTATTGGATCTAGGGTAAACGATTGAGTAAGCATACTTACGGTTACGCCTCCCTTGAGTCAATATACGGTGACACCGACTAAGTCAATCAGAAAAGAAGAAGATGACGAATAGATGATAAGGAAGAGAGGAAGTAAATTTGTTGTTCCATGAGTTGTAAAAGAATGTTCGAAATGCTACCCCCAAAGGGCTTAGTCCTCGTCAACTACAACGTTGTTCCAACAGTTTGGCTAAACTTCCAACGCTAATTCTATGCTACTGTACGCGAACCACGAGAAGGATCCTTCAAACATCAGCCCATTCACAACTCGTTTACAGAAGTTCTCACATTAGTCTCGAAAGAAGGTCTCAATTAGGTTGAGGCGACGCCAGCATACGCGTGGCCAGCTCCTCTTGGACGGAGGCGTCGGTCCAACCTCCGGACGGGTTTATTCTTAGGCGTCGCCCGAACTGGCCTGTTTACGGCCTAGTGATCGCCGCGAGAGTTTTTCAGCCAGGGGTCGGGGCGTTGGTTTCATGTGTCAGTGGCAGTTGGAGCAGATGTCATGACAGAGGATCGTGGCAGTGCAGGCGGCTTGGCATGAGAAGAGCTTCGCAAGCTCGTTCAGGGAGTGTCCCTGTATGCGTGCGTCGGAGGATTCTTATTGAGGCCAGCTAATTGTATTGAGATGTTCATTGGGGCGATTGAAAAGATATTGCAGTTGAATTAGTGATTTGCGACCATTGTTTCGTTCAATGCTGGGGTCAGTGGTTATCATTAGACCTTGGGCCGCTATACGTCACCTCAATTAGAGTGCATGTTTTAGGGCGTTTACCTCAACGACATGGCATCCACTCATACGACAACAGGCCGAGAACGAAGTGTAATTTACGTTAAACAAAAGATATTCTACACTGCCGAACTTGATGCGACTGCGTCCTTGAGCTTGAAGACCAGTAGTACAAGTCTATAATGCAATTGAACCTTGAAATCAAGACTACATACAAGACATCGGGTCTCATTGGAGGCTCATGTCCAGTGAATTACACAATGTGACACCCAGACACATGTGGGGTGTTGCGGCTGTGGCTTAGTGCCCACACAGTGGGGTATCACAGCCTTCAGGCTCCCCCCGGGCTTCAGGCATATTCTGTAGCACTAAGAACCGCCTCCGACTGGACCTCACCTCGAGACAAAAGGCGAGGCCACTGCACACTCGGTCAAGCCAGGAAGTACCGGGTCGTGTTTTGTTTCCTCCATTGTACGATAACAATATCATCGCAGCCTTGTGAGGGTTTGACTTCTATTCTTCTCAACCACGCATCATTCATCCATCTCATTTTGCATTCTTTCAACTACTACAACAAACACGCATTCACTATTCGATACCCAGTGCAACGCAGTCAGATTGACAGCATTCAAATCGAGTCTGCATCCGTCTTCCAACAGCTTACATCATCATTGACTCGTCTACTCGCCAATTCAAATGATACCCGCATCTTAAAATGAATTCCTCGACGGTTAACGCCCGACAGAGGCGCATTATCCAATTATCACAGCAATGGGGTTGCTCACTACCACCCAATGCCCCTACTCCTCTCACGCGACCACCTCACCCAACCTCTTTCCGAACTCACGGTGATGATGAAGTCGCTGAGGGCCTGCTGCAAAGGCGGTCCGCTGAAGTCGCACAGCTGCGACCTAAGAGTGGTTTGTCGCGAGCCTTCTCGTCGAGTAACCTGAAAAAAGGAAAGCATTGGGATACCAAAGAGATACTAAACGTCTTGAACTCCTGGGTCGACAGTTCAGGCTCGCCCGGTGTAGCCGAATCTTTGATTGCGAAATTGGCTGCAGCCGGTGTCGACCTAGGTGGTATGCAGACTCAAAAGCAGGGATTATTAAACAGAAGAAAAAGCGTTGAACATGGCCTTGATCGAACTCGCCTTCTCAAGTCCGCAATCGAACGAGACCAGCTAGACATGGTACATGTGCTTATACCGCATGCTGACCCATTGACCCTCGATATTTGTCTTCCAGCTGCGGTAAGAACTAGAAATGCACGAATCGTGGAGGTCCTATTGAGGTATGGAGCAAATGCATCCAACACTGCGGAGGGGCAGGACGAATTCCGCAAAGCGTGCTCTGTTCCAGCTTTATCAGAGATCGCATCGCTCATTCTAAGATCTGATGGACGGCCGGAAGAAATATGCACATCGCAGGCGCTTACCGACGCCACAAGAGCACAATGTTTCGACACTGTTTTACATCTGAGTCGTTCCACCGCAGACGGGAACTACAATAACGCTGAAGCTCTCAAGATCGCTATCAACGACCAGCGAAGAGATATTGCAATGGCAATCGCCACGGGAAACAAGTCGCCTCAAAGTCCCGGCCTCGATGAGGCTTTCGAGCAGCTCATGAACAACACAGAACTAGAACCACGGTCAAAACTTGACTTTGCTGAGCTTTTGCTTTGTTGCGGCGCTCAGGGCCCTATACTGGAAAGATCACTCGAAGTGGCCTGCGAGACACAGTTCTTTGACATGGCTGACCTTTTGGCTCGTTATGGAGCTTCAATCGAGCACAACGACGCTTCTGCCCTCAAAACCGCCATTTCAAAGGGCCAAACCAGCCTTGTGGGCTCTCTTCTCAACGGATCGTCCAAGATTGATCCTACGTTGGCATCAAGTTGTGTCCCTCTGATTCCCGAGCATGCAGATCCTGGAACTCGACAAAATTTGCTATACTCGCTCCTCAGACGGGGAGCAAATGGCGACGTCCTGAATGATTGTCTCATTCTAGCTGCTCAAGCTGGGGACGCTCATTCTGTAGAACTTCTACTCAACCCTCACTTTCGCGAGCCACCCAGTGGACAGCAAAATGGGCAGGTAAAGCCACGCATCACTAACCGTCACGCTGTTGCATCGCCTGATTATCAGAGCGGAGAGGCCCTACGTATAGCAATCCTAGCCGGAAATGCAGACATGGCAGCCAAAATCCTGTTTGCAAGACCTTCAAACGAAACACTTACCGCAATATTTCCTCTAGTTAAGAGCCTCCCCCCGACGGATCGATATCGTATGGTTGAGATGTTCCTAAGGGGAGCTCTGACCGGCCCAGCTTTGCACAAGGCTCTTCAAGATGCAATCAGCGAAGACCCTTCCCGGAGAGATGATGCTCTGATCGATCTTTTACTCAAGTATAATGCGGACATCAATTATGACGACGGAGCTGGACTCACCCAGATCATAAATCAGATGGACCTGGGGTTATTCACCAAATTGATGCAAAACGCTTCTCCTCAGACAGCAGCTGCGCATGTCAACAATGTGATGAGTATCGATAACCACCAAATCAGGTACGAGATGATGTCAATGCTGTTTAACGCAAGGGCGAGCGTCGCTGGACAACAGGTTGCGGAAGCTCTCCTTGCGAATATATCGGAAATACCTGTTGACATGTCTCTTCTTCGACTTATCCTTGAGCAAGGAAGGCCAGACATCAACGGCCTCAATGGCCATATTCTGCAGAAAGCCGCCCAAACCCCTGACCCCAAGGTTATTGATCTGATCCTGACCTTGGGCAAACACAACCATGACACCATCTCTGTTTGTCTCGAAGGACTAGCAAAAATTCCTTCCAGCGAGAACAAAGCGTGGAAGCTTGATGTTATTCTGACCAGATCACCCAAGAAGATCAACCTGGATGCAATGCTTGTGCATGAAGTCCAGACTCTTATCGAGGACACATCTGGCAATGCCTCGTTCAAAACACTGCAGAAACTTTTGGACCGCGGCGCCGATGTGAACGCTTTCCAGGCAAGAGCACTATGCAGTGCGGTCAAAGAAGCGAAGGACACGATAGTTGATACCCTGTTCGCTAGTGAGAAACCACCGACAGCGGCATCACTAGCATTCGCTCTTCCGCAGGCCCTAAAGATCTCGGATCCTATGACCCGCTTGACTTTCACTAAGAGTCTCGTAGAATCTGGAGCCTCCCCCCGTGAAGTCAACAGAGCATTGATCCATGCTATTAGCCATTTCACCACAGACGTCGCTTTGATATGCGTTCTAGCCACTTATGCTGATGCGTCTGATGGAGAAGCCCTGACACTCGCTGTTACCAGAGAGTCAGTCGAAGCCTTGGATCTTCTTCTCTCACAGCTCAAGCATACGGACGAGACCAGAGATTCTTGCTTGGATCAGGCGATGAAGATCGCCGACTGGACGGTTCGTCTTATTATCTGCAATCGTCTAGCAAAATCTGGCGTTTCATCTCAGGCAGCCTCTAACGCTCTGCTTGTCGCGGCGAGGGATGGTGATCTCGAACTTGGAGATATTCTTATTGCTCATGGTGCCAGTATTTCCACCAACGGAGGTCAAGCTATCATTGAAGCATGCCGCGGCGGTTCTGTTGAAGTTCTTGATGTGCTTCTCAAGTCCAATGCAGATACTCAGAAGATAACATTGGAGCGTGGATTCCAAGCTGCGACTGAGGTTAGAGATTTGAACAAAAGGGCAATGGTCTTCCAGCGCCTCCTCAAGAGGGGTGTTTCTGGAGAGGTTGTCGACATTCAGCTCGTTTCAGCTGCAAAGTACGGCGAAGAGGGACATGAAGTGTTGCGTGTTTTGCTGGCAGCGGGTGCAGACCCCAACTACAGTAACGGCGAGGCGGTTGTGGCAGCAACCCGAAGTGCCTTTGTCGGTAGTCTTGAGTTGCTGTTGGGATTGTGGCACGAGGGCGGTAATCAGGTAAGTTTGACAAGTCGTTTGGAAACGCTCTCGCTAACGTGTTTGCAGAAAAAGGCATCGCCTCCGACTTTGGTTAGGGCTATGAAGGCAAGCTGGAAACTGAACCAAGATACCAGGCTGCATATAGTCCAAGATCTGATGAAGGCAGGTATGCCAGCTGTGGATGAAGTCCACATCGCCTTGAGTAAGGCAGTTGGTGAAGACGAACCAGATGAACGACTAATACAGGTCTTGCTTGATTCTGGAGCATCGCCGTTCACAAATGGTTGCTTTGCCCTTACCCAAGCTGTGCAAGGTGTCAAGGTTGCGGCACTAGATCTTCTCCTAGGCAGTAAGATCGACGAGGATGAGATACTCAAGCTTTTCGAAAACGGATTCTCAGAGACACAGTTCAGCACATGGTTCTCCCCGAACGGTCTAGAGGTTGCAAAAATGCTTCTAGCGAAAGGGGCTAAAGGAGTGGCTGTCAGCAATGCTTTGGTACAGGTGATGAAGAATAGCACAGACGAGACTGAGTCATTGGCTGATGAGTTTGTTGACTTGTTTGTCGCTCATGGAGTCGATATTGACTTTGAGAATGGAGAACCCCTGATTTGCGCGGCATCCAAGGGTAATGCCCATTGGACAGAAAGGCTGCTTGCTTGCAAGCCATCACCACAGACCCTCACGCTTGCTTTTGAGCGTGTGTTCGATACGGCAAGGTCACCTGATGAGGTACTGAAGCTGTTTGAACTCTTTTCGGGATATCGCGATGGAGAGGTCGGGCTAGATGTCATGACGCGGAGTGCTGGGTCTGATCCGATTCTCATCAGGGCGATTTCACAGTATCCTAGGTCGACAGAGCTGTTGCAGACGTTGTTGGATGCTGGTTTCTATCACGATCAGACAACAACATATCGTATCCATGACAGCGTGGAAGAGCCTGAAGAGGTGACGGTGCTTGCCTGGGCAATTTCTCAGCCACAGAAAAAGGTCAGCTCAGCACTGATTAAGATGCTGATCCAACGTGGTGGTAAGTCTTTGATCATTTGCTCATCGCAGACTCATTTCTAACCTTTATAGCGAACGTCAACTTCGAGACAACAATTAGTCGAACCACCCCTCTTATGATCGCAATCCAAGCTCGCCGACCCGATATAGTTAAGGAACTACTCATCGAAGGAGCGAGCGTCGATATCACCGATGCCATGGGCAGAACACCTCTTGCGATGGCCACCGATATTGGTGGTGAGCTGTCGACTCGCATGATGGGCAACTTACTGGCATTTGATCAATCGAAAGATGATGGATCACTACACAACTCCGCTAGAGAACTCAACTTTGCAGCAGTATCAGTTCTGGTGGAACATGGCCATCATCCTGACTTCCCTAGTCCACTACACGATGGAAGATCTGCATTGGGTGAAGTCTGTCGCCATGGAGCAGGGTCTGGTAAAATGACGGCAGATGCAGAGAAGCTCATGCAGAAGGTAATGACTTTCTTGATTGACGCTGGCTCAGATTTGACCTTGCAGTCGCATGGAAAGTCTCTGCTTCTTCTTTGCTTCGATTCTACAGACCCTATTGTCACTACTCGCAGCTTCTTGAAAGTGGCTATGTGGAAGGAGATCAACAAACCGTTCAACCATTACACTGATGGCGAGTTTACGTATTCTCCGACAATGTACGTCAGCAAAGTGATGCCCGAATCGGATACTCGAGACCAGCTTCTCAGCCTTCTTCGGGCGAACAGAGCAGTGGATGTCTACTACGCCAATTCTGGAGACCAGCCTGACGATGCAGTTGGTCTCCCCAATGATATGGTAGTCCAAGAACGCGAAAGAAAAGCCAGATTACGACGACTGGCACTTGAAACTGAAGACCACGCTATTGCGCTCGCACGCGCAAAGGAAGTGGCCAGTGTGGAGAGAGAGATCTGGAATCACAAGGCGGAGATCGAGGATGCCCGCCGTCGCAGACTTCACAACGAAGATATTAATGCAACACGACAAAAGGCTGATCTTGAAGAAACGCTCTTCCTCGCAGCTGTCAAGAGACGACAGTTGGAGCAGAGCAAGGTTACACAGTCCAGTCTCGAGCGTATCCAACAAGTCGCCGCAGCTGAACTCCTAGCCGAAGAGACCAGACAACAGAAGATGATTGAGTGGGAATCTAAATTGAACTCTGAACGAGCCGGCAATGCGCAAGCACTTAGTAGTCTACGCATCAGTGAGCGTGAAGAGTTGGAACGAATCGAAAGAGGCGCAGACGAAAGAGTCAAGAGGAGACTCGAGGCACAGAAAAAGTTGGTTGAGACGCAGGAGAGATTGGCAAAGAGACTTGCTTCAGGACCTGGAGGGGGAGCAGATGCCAGGAGGCAGATTGGATTCGTGGAAGAGATTAATTAACCCTTTAGTATCCAACATAAGCATTACTGGCAGGTTTGGGGGAGATAGGCGTTGGGTGTTTTTATTATCAGATACCTCTTATAGCTTATGATGAGATGATCTTTCTTTTTCTCCAAGACTAGAACTTGCCCGTTGGCTCTCGAGTACAGCTCTGGCAGCGCTCAACCTGTCGGTATCTGGGGTCAGGCCAAGGTTTGTGCGGTCCCCAGATGCAACCCTTTTCTTGGCTTCCTCCAATATTCTCTTTTGTGTTTCTTCTGGCAAAAGGGTATGTTTCACCATTAGTGGCAACCTCTGCCCCCTGTCTCTCTCCTGAACCCTTTTGACGACACGCCCTGACTCTTCTGGTCTCTGCTTCTTCTGCAGCTCGCCTTTCATACGGCGCACTCTCGAATCGACTTTGCTGATGTTGAGCTCTAGTCTGATGGCAGATTCTAGGTCCTTTGCGGCAGATGCTAGGTCCCTGGCTTTGGATTCTAGGTCCTTGGCGGCGGATTCGAGCTCGTTGGTAGAAGATTTTAGCGTGTCAATGGTGTCATCGGTCGTTTTGGTGGTAGCCTCGATGTTTTCGGGCGTGTCAGTGAGCTTGGCGAGCATATCGTTGGTGGTGTGTTGGGAAGACGTCTCGTGACAGTAGAGGCGACGAGTAATATAGGTGATGAGCGATATGACAGAAATAATCTGAGATGTAAGAGAAGTGTGGGTAAGAGGAGGGTTTGGTGATGATGAAGAGAGGAAAAGAAAAGGATCAAGAGACGGAGGATGCGTCTCCTTTATATACCTACTTACCTACTTTACTTTATGGTGCCAAAGTTTAATAGTTCGTTTGTATTGGCAGTGATATTGGCTGTCTCTAGATTCCCATTTTATCAGCCTCATGCTGTAGTAATTGGTCAGACATTATGGGTTAACCTACAAGTTGTGAGGTAGATGTGTCATTTGCAGTTGAGACCTATGGCTGAGAGCTTAACCAGCAAAGAGAACTTGGCTGTTTATATTCGTTTTGGATCGACATCTACTTCTTAGGGCAGCGAGCCCAAATGATGCATACACAAAAGCTTAACAGGTATTTTTGGAACTTTGTATTCGTCTACACGTTGGTAACTGCACATAGAATAAACACGATTCACCAACTGACCAAGGACCACGATGAAAGAACAAGCGAGTATATTGTTTTCGGTTGGATCTCTGCCAACTGATATCATGTTTGTACAAATGTAGTGCCTTAACTCCATACCGACCGGTGACCGTAACACGCTTGAGCAAATCCACAGCTATGATAACGTACAGATGTAGATAACCCTTCCAGTAACAATCCCAAACAACAAATACCGTCAGCAAATAATAACACTCATGTATAGCAATTAATCCTTTCGTGCCATCTTGATAGAATCAGCACCAGTTTCCACAACGCGGAAAGCATCAGCATCGCCCTGTCCGCTCGCAGCCTTCTCATAAGCTGCCTCACTTCTATCGCAAAGAACGTCTAAATCAGCGTCACTGAGGACTTGTTCGCCCCCTGAGGTCTTGTACACTTGGCCATCCTTTAGAAGCAGAGCGCGGAGCGACTCGGGGTCGATGTCTTCGTGGAGATCCATCTTTTGACCCATTGACTTGAAGTTACCTTTCTTGATGACGAGTTTCTCAAGTCGGCGCTTGGCGTCGGCAGAGTTGAGGAGGGTTTCCTCAACTGTGTCTTTTGTAGCAAATCGGAATACGACAACGGGGCGGGTTTGGCCGATGCGATGGCAGCGGTCTTGGGCTTGAAGATCTTGCTGAGGGTTGAAGTCTGAGTCAAATAGAATCACCGTGTCGGCTGAAGCGAGGTTGATGCCCTGACCGCCTGCGCGGGTAGAGAGCAAGAAGATCTTGTACTCAGGATCGCTGTTGAAATCGGCAATTTGAGTTCGTCGACTCTCCTGCGCGACAGAGCCGTCGATACGGCAGACTTTCCAGCCGCGGAGTTCACGGCAGTAGTCTTCAAGGATGTCAAGTTGAGTAGTGAATTGTGAGAAGATGAGAACTTTGTGGTCGTCTTGGAATAACCGAGGTAGCAGACGATCGAGAAGAAGCATTTTACCGGAAGCGGTGACTATAGAGTCATCAACGGGAAGGTCTTTGGAAGCGATCCAAGGGTTGTAGAAATTGTGAGGTGAGTTGCAAACAAGTCGCAGCTGTGCTAGGGGGTTGCCGAGCTTCTTTTGAGCGATCTGCTTTTCTACGCCATGTCAGTGTATCCTTGAGTAGTAAAGGGGTAAACTTACTCGCAAGCTCAAAAGCCTCGGCCCGTTCGCGCTCCTCTGGTGTTAATGACACTTGATCACTCAAGTCCTCATCGTCAGAGACCATCTCATCCGCCAACTTTGCTTCAAACTCATCATCAGACATCTTCTCCTCATCTGAACCAGCATCTTTGTAGGTTCTTGTCTTTCTCGGCCGTCCACGCGTGCTCACTGGCGTTGACTGGCGAGTGGACTTGGCGCTCTTGGGCTCCGGCTCCAAAGACGCGGGAGCACCCTTTCGTTTACCCCCAGACTTGGGTGTCACGGGTGCCTCCTCGACCTTCGGGTCTTTACGTGGTCTGCCACGGCCGCGCTTGGCCATCATGACCGAAAATGCATTGGTTGCTGGCGCCTCTGGTTCGACCTGCTTCTTACGCGGGGATTCACGAACGGGGAGTGTCATAGTCTTTGGTGCCGCGACGCTGCTTGATCGAGACGTCTTGGCGCTGGCTTCAGTCGAATTGGTACCATAGATCTTTTCATGCACCTTGTCCTCTAGATACTGTCGGGTATCGACCTTTTTGTTGGTAAGCACGTTGTAAAGATCTGTTTGCTCCTTTGTCATGGGAGCGAAGAGCACGTATTCTCTCTTTTTAGGGAGGTAGGCGGCTACATCCTGTTTGATGCGTCTCAGAAGCATAGGCTGAAGAATGAGGTGAATCTTCTTTACGAGCTCTTGCTTCTTCTGATCAGCGATGAACTCCTCTGTGCCCTGCTCATCTTCGAGATCAGAGAAGTCGAACCACGACTCAAAGGCCTCCCAGTCTGTGAAGATGTTGGGCAGCAGGAAGTGCAGTAGTGACCACAGCTCTTTGAGGTTGTTCTGAAGAGGTGTTCCGGTGATGAGAAGACGAGTTGCAGATGAGAACTGACGAAGCTGCTGGAACAGTTTGGCGTCTGCATTCTTCATGCGATGACCTTCATCCTAAGCTTCATGTTAATTTTATGTGGTCTGACCATGAGATAATGAGACTTACTATGATGATAAACTCCCAGTTGATCTTGGATAAGTTGTGCTGATCTCTGAGAACCATTTCATAGGATGTGCACACCACTGGGAATTTAGTGGTGGGACGGCCAGCCTTGAGATGCTTCAGCATTTTGGTCCTGAAGATCTTCTCACGGTCGTCTTTGTTGCCATGATACATGATGACAGGGATAGAAGGCGTCCATTTGGTAAATTCGTCCTCCCAGTTTGAGAGTGTGCTCAAAGGAGCGACGATCAAATGAGGGCCGAGATAATTCTCCTGCTCACGAAGCAGGGCAATCAAGGCGATGGTTTGAACAGTTTTGCCTGGGATAAGTCAGTACTCATGAGATATTCATAAAGTGAGGCTCAAACTTACCAAGACCCATCTCATCAGCTAAAATACCAGACATGCCCTGAGAGCAAATCTCGTACATCCATGTGAGACCCTCAAGCTGGTAATCTCTCATGGTGCCGTTAATCATGCACTTGGGTTGCTGCGCCATCTCCAGGCTATGCTCACCCAGGGTCTTGCCATCAAGACTGCTACCGACTCGGCCCAAGACCTGAGTCTTTTTGGTAAGAATATCTGAGAAAGCAGCTGACTTTGCGAGCAAGTCGTCAAGTTCTCTAGCCTTGGCTTCACGCTCAGACTTTGTCTCAGCCTTCTTCTTTTTCTTCCTCTTGAGCATCGCCTGTCGTCGCTTCTCCTCATTCCTCTCATTTTCTAGACGCGCCTCCTGCTCTTCCTTGATAAGCGCCTCGTCGGCACCTTCGAGATCATCTTGCTGTTCCGAGGGCGGCGAGCTGGGCACACTTGTAGGCAGCCGTGAGTTAGAACGGGCTGAGCTAGAGTTGCTCGGCGACTTGGGTGCCGCCATGTTGAAATGGTACTATAACGATGTGTAAAATAATGAGTAAATAAGAATATAGAGAGAGAAAAAGAGTGTCAGGGGCCGAGTCGAGCTCAAGGCTTGTTTAGTGGTTTCGGCGATCCGATCCGCTAGTGAGCAGGATGATGTAGTTGACTCGCCTCGAATCGGGGCGTGAAAAAAAAGAAAAGGGAGAAATTTCTCAGGGGAAGTACAAAAGGGGGGTAAAAGAAACAGGCCCAGGTAAACAGGTAATTTGGAGCAAAAACAACAATTGATGTACAATATATGGGCTAATTTATTGTGTCTTCTCATGGACACAATTGTCGTTGCCGAGTCTTCTCCTTCGACAATACAAGAGTCAAAGGGCGTAGCGCGTAAAGGAGCAAACGCGAGAAAGGGGCGATATCACGAGTTAGCGCGTTGCAAGCACAGCCACATTCTTCTCTCAGTGCCACAGCAACGCCTCCCGTCTCTCCCCGCCAATTCAATTGGTGACAGACCGGAATTACCCCTCCACCCCACCAAGAGAAAATATCAAGACACTCACTCAACTCTTTAGCATCAGTTCTAGAGTGAAGCTATAACGAAGCTTCATCTCTCATCACAGCCAATCTGTTCGCCCTTCGACTTCTCCGCCAGGCACCCCGAAGCCTCTCACCGTTGATATCCTTCAGAATGGCATCCTTCGCCTCCCAGACCTACACTCCCACCGAGGAGGCTGAGATCCAGCAATGGCTCACCACCTCCGAGCGTCTCAAGTCCCCCGAGGACAAGTCCACCATCCTCGAGACCCTCAACAACCACCTCTCCAGCCGCTCCACCCTCCTCGGCAGCAAGCCCTCCAAGGCCGACGTCGCCATCTACGAGACCCTCGCTCCCATCGTCGCCAAGTGGTCTCCCGAGGAGCGAACCGGCGAGAAGGGACACCCCCACATCGTCCGCCACGTCGACTTTGTACAGAACTCTCCCCTGTTCGGCCTCGATGTCAAGGATGAGAACAAGGTCCAGGTTGATCGTGATAACGTCCTCTACGTGAAGCCTCCCGTCGACGCCAAGGCTGAGAAGGAGAAGAAGAAGAAGGAGGCTGCTGCTGCCGCTGCCACTGGTGGTGAGGCTTCGCTTGTTGATCGTACCAAGGAGAAGGTCAAGGAGGTTGTTGAGACGGCCAAGGAGAAGATTGCTACTGATAAGCCTAAGAAGGAGAAGAAGGAGAAGGCTCCCAAGCAAAAGGCTGCTCCCGCCCCTGCTGCTCCTCTCTCCCCTGCTCTCATTGACCTCCGAGTTGGTCACATTCTCAAGGCCATCAACCACCCCGACGCCGACTCCCTTTACGTTTCCACCATTGCTGTTGGTGACAAGCCCGGAAACGAGGACTACGTCGAGTACGAGGGTCAAGTCTGCCGCACCGTCTGCTCCGGCCTCAACGGCCTCATCCCCCTCGAGTCCATGCAGGGCCGCAAGGTTGTCGTGGTC